ATGGTGGTTCCATTCCCAGCTTTCCAAGAAATCTCCATACTGCTTTCCAAATTGGCTGCACCAATTTGCAGTCCCACCAGCAATGAACAAGAGTGCCCTTTTCCCCACATCCTCTCCAGCACTTATTGTTGATAAACACATTTTAAGTTAATATAAAACCAACTGTCCCTGGAAGACACATAATGACGCACCTTAGAAGTGATTTGATGAGGGCTAGACAACTGGACAATATGATCCAAAATTACTTTTCCCTGATTCTATGTAGTAGCAAGACACATTGATTGGTAAGTGTGATATTTTCTAAAGGAATATACCACTGATTGGATCTCAAATACCACCCATAAATTAGAATTAATCTTTTCCTAAGAATAAGTAGTCCTCTGTGGTTCTAATGACTTGTTTTGTCTTTTAAATATGCTTAAAACTCTTACAACTCTTTCAACTCTTACAAATGTCTAGATTTTTTATTTCTTTTGAGAATTTAGAAGACTTCAGAACATCAATCTGCATTTGTGGCAATCAGTGAGTATAATTGTTTTATGTAAAACAGATACTCTCCACTTCACCTCTGCTTTTTTATGCCACCCCAATTATTACCAGGTTCATTTTACCAATATTGCATGCCCAGTCCCAGTAGGCATTTATTAACTGGAGAATAGTTTCTGAAATCCAAAAGAACCAATTCATTTAAAGTTTTTGCTTTTAATAACTGTGACTTTTTAATAATATGCATAATAACTCTAAACTCTACCTTCTTAATCTGTTAAAGGGGAATAAAATAGCTACTTCAATTGTTTTGAGAATTAATGAGATAATATTTGAAAAGTTGTCCAGATAATACTTGTCATAAGGTGACTACTTTTATAGCTTTTTAAGATTATTGAGCATATTTGCATTTAATTGAGTAATTAGGATGTTAAATTTTGAAGTAAATAGATTTATGTGACTATAAGGTAATATACTACTAATTAGTCTTATGTAATTTTTGATATATAAAAAGATGTTCATTATCTTTTTAAATGAACTAATCTGGTGCTCTATTACTATTTACAGCTAAATATGAAGCAACCTCAGATACATCAAAAAACCTTCCAAAATTGCAGCCATCGATTAGTGATATAATATTTCAGTTAGACTTAGACAAAGTGGTTGGTAAGTAAATATTTATATTTGTACACTATACACCATAATCCTAAAGTATTTCAACTGTATAGAAGATATCTGTTTTGTTCTATTTTATGATATCTGTCTCTTTTTAAATTTCTCATTTAGAACATAAATACAACATAGAACATTTCTGCTTTTATTGAATTGTAAATCTGTATTCTCTTATATCCATTTCCATTAGCTTCAGATCATTATTTTTAATTCCTTTTCAAGTTATTAAACATTTTCCATTACTTTGGGGTCTTTAAGTGTTATATAAAGTGGAGTTAAAATAAAAATCACAGCAATATTTTTAAAATATGCCCATATTATTTTTTTAGATTTTTAAAATTTATTCTAATTTGTTATATATGACAGCAGAATGCATTTAAAATTCATATTACACATACAGGGCACAATTTTTTATATTTCTGGTTGTACACAAAGTAGAGTTACACCATTCGTGTCTTCATACATGTACTTAGGGTAATGATGTCCATCTCTTTCCACAGTCTTTCTTACCCCCACACCCCCTTTCTTCCTCTCCCACCCCTTTGTCTTATCAAGTGTTTATCTAATCCTCCAATGCTCCCACTCTCATAAATCAACATCCTTATATCAGAGAAAACATCTGGCATTTGTTTTTTTGGGATTGGCTAATTTCACTTAGCATTACATTCTCCAACTCCATCCATTTACCTGCAAATGCCATGATTATTTTATTCTCTTTTAATGCTGAATAATATTCCATTGTGTATGTGTATAAATTGTGTATGTGTATAATATATACATATTATACACATACACAATATATACATATTATACACATACACACACACACACACACACATCTCACATTTTCTATATTCATTCATCTACTGAAGATCATCTAGGTTGGTTCCACAGTTTAGCTATTGTGAATTGTGCTGCTATAAACATTGATGTGGCTATGTCCCTGAAGTATGCAGTTTTAAGTCCTTTGGGAATAGACTGAGGAGTGGGATAACTGGGTCAAATGGTGGTTCCATTCTCAGATTTCAAGGAATCTCCATTCTGCTTTCCATATTGACTGCAGAAATTTGCAGTCCCATCAGGAATATATGAGTGTGAATTTTTCTGCACATCCTCACCAATAATTCTGGTTGTTTGTATTCTGAATAGCTGCCATTTTGACTGGAGTGAGATGAATCTTAGAATAGTTTTGATTTATATTTCTCTAATTGCTAGAGATGTTGAGCATTCTTTCCTATATTTGTTGATTGATCATATATTATCTTCTGAGAAGTGTCTGTTCAGTTCCTTGGCCCATTTATTGATTGGGTTATTTGATTTTTTTTTTCTTTTGTTGTTAAGTTTTTTGAGTTCTTTATATATCCTAGAGGTTAGTGCTCTATCTGCTGTGCATGTGGCAAAAATTTGCTCCCAAAATATATTCACTCTGTATTCATCTCACTTATTGTTTCTTTTGTTGAGAATAAGCTTTTTAGTTTGAATCCATCCCATTTATTGATTTTTAATTTTAATTCTTGTACTAAGGATCTGATAAAGGAAGTAGGGACCTAATCAGACATGATGGAGACTTCAGCCTACTTTTTCTTCCATTAGGCTTAGGGTCTCTCATTTCTAGGTCCTTGATCCACTTTTGAGTTGAGTTTTGTGCATGGTGAGTGATAAGGGTTGAGTTTCATTTTGCTGCATATGGATTTCCGGTTTTCCCAGCACCATTTGTTGAAGAGTCTATCTTTTCTCCAATATATCTATTTGGCACCTTTGTCTAATATGAGATAACTGTATTCATCTCATATTAGTTGGTTTCTGTGTTGTTTATTCTGTACCGATGATCTACAAGTCTATTTTGATGCCAATACCATGCTGTTTTTGTTGCTATTGCTGTGTAGTATAGTTTAAGGTCTGGTATAGTGATGCCACCTGCTTCACTCTTCTTGCTAAGGATTGCTTTAGCTATTCTGGGTCTCTTATTCTTTAGATGAATTTAATGACTGCTTTTTCTATTTCTATGAGGAATGTAATTGAGACTTTTATTGGAATTACATTAAATCTGTATAGTGCTTTTGATAGTATGGTCATTTTGACAATATTAATTCTGCCTATCCAAGAGCAGTCTTTCCATCTTCTAAGGTCTTCTTTGATTTCTTTCTTTAGTGTTCTGTAGTTTTCATTGTAGAGATCTTTCACATTTTTCATTACGTTGATTCCCAAATATTTTATTGTTTTAAGACTATTGTAAATGGGGTAGTTTTTCTCGTTTCTGAGGATTTGTCACTGATATACAGAAGGGCCTTTAATTTATGGATGTTGATTTTATATCCTGCTACTTCGGTGACTTCATTTACTAATTCTAGAAATTTTCTGGTGGAATGTTTTGCATCTTCTAGGTATAGAATCATATCATTGACAAATAGTGATATTGAGTTCTTCTTTTCCTATACATATCATTTTAATTTCTTTCTTCTGTGTAATTGCCTTTGCCAGTGTTTCAAGAACTATGTTAAATAGAAGTGGTGAAAGAGGGAATCCCTGTCTTGTTCCTGTTTTTAGAGGGAATGCCTTCAATTTTTCTCCATTTAGAATGATGTTGCCTGGGGCTTAGCATAGATAGCTTTTACAATGTTGAGATATGTTCCTGTATACCCAGTTTTTGAACATAAAGGGGTGCTGTATTTTGTCAAATGCTTTTTCTGTGTCTATTGAGATTATCATATGATTCTTATCTTTAAATTTATTGATGTGATAAATTATTGATTTCCATATGTTGAACCAACCTTGCATCTCTGGAATGAACCCCACTTGATCATGGTGCACTATCTTTTTGGTATGTTTATGTATTAAATTTGCCAGAATTTTATTGAGAATTTTGCATCTATGTTAATTAGAGATATTGGTCTGAAGTTTTCTTTCTTTGATGTGTCTTTGCCTGATTTTGGAATCAGGGTTTTATTGGCCTCATAGAATGAATTTGGAAGTGCTCCCTCTTTTTCTATTTCCTGAAATAAATTTGAAGAGTATAGTATTAGTTCTTCTTTAAAGGTCTTGTAGAACTCAGTTGTGTATCCATTTGGTCCTGAGATTTTCTTTGTTGGTAGGCTTCTGGTGGTATCTTCTATTTCATTGCTTGAAATTGATCTGTTTAAATTGTGTATATCATCCTGATTCAATTTGGGCAAATCATATGACTCTAGAAATTTGTCAAAGCCTTTGATATTTCATATTTTATTGGAATACAAGTTTTCAAAATAATATCTAATTATATTCTGTATTTCTGTAGTGTCTGTTATGATATTTACTTTTTTATTATATATGTTAATAATTAGTGAATTTTCTTCTCCCTCTTTGTTAGCATGACTAAAAATTGTCAATTTTATTTTATTTTCCAAAGAACTAGCTTTGTGTTTTGTCAGTTTTTTTCAGTTGTTTCTTTTGTTTCAATCTAATGGAGATTAGGACCTATTTTTTCTTCTATTAGACGCAGGGTCTCTGGTTATATTCCTAAATCCTTGATCCATTTTGAGTTGAGTTTTGTGCATGGTGAGAGATAGAGGTTTAATTTCATTTTGTTGCATATGGAATTCCAGTTTTCCTCATTGATTTCCTGTCTTCTTCTGCTTTTGGTGTTGATTTGTTCTTTCTTTTCTAGGGCTTTGAGATGTAATGTTGGGTCATTTATTTGTTGAGTTTTTCTTCTTTTAACGAACTCCACTCAATGAACTTTCCTCTTAGTACTGCCTTAATAGTGTCCCAGAGATTTTGGTACATTGTATCAGTATTCTCATTTACCTGTAAGAATTTTTTAATCTCCTCTTTGATGTCTTTTGCAACCCATTGTTCATTTAGTAGCATATTATTTAGTCTCCAGATGTTGGAGTAGATTTTATTTTTTATTTTGTCATTGTTTTATAATTTTATTCCATTATGTTCTGATAGAATATAGGGTAGTATTTTACATTTTTGTATTTGCTAAGAATTGCTTTGTAGCATGACATATGGTCTATTTTAGAGAAGGATCCATGTGCTGCTGAGAAGGATGTGTATTCCCTTGTTGAAGGATGAAATAGTCTATGTATGTTGGTGAAGTCTAAGTTATTGATTGTATTATTGAGTTCTATAGTTTTTTGTTCTAATAAAATTGATAAATTCTGGTGATAATGAGCAATAGAAAAAAACACCAGAATAATGAAAAATGACACAATTCCATAACCAACAGACCTTAAAATATTATAATCAGGATGATGGGATAGATTAATTTTCATAAGACTCTGTGTGAAAGAAGAATCAGGGTAACAAAAGAGAAACTATACTTCAAAGGAGGAAGAATTCTGGTAATCAAGAAAGAAGTGATGGGAGACCTACACAGAAAATCAGAAAGACAGCACAGAAAAAGTAATTTTCAACTTTAGCTCAAGCTTCCCAGCTTAGATTAGGGAGCCTAACACTGCAAGCATAGGTAACCTTGGAGAGAATGAAAGACATCCATAATAACATCAGTGTGGCAGTCCCAGCTGCAGAGGAAATCTATGACTTTTATAAGCTTTAAATCCAGTTCATATTTTTGGTCTAAAAGTGACCTCTCAAGCTCAACACTGTGACTAGTAACCACCTTTGGAAGAGCACTGTTTTTAGGGACTGGACTACCTTGGGGATCAGAAAACCCAGATCAGTCACAGATCAGGGTCCCTGTGGACACCCTGATGTGTTGGCTATGTGGGAGATTGCTGCATGGGTCATTTGTGGCTTTGGGGAATGTCTTGACAGAGCCCCACTAGGAGGATTATACAGTAGGGAGCACAGGCTATGAAGAAAAGAGGAGTGGAGGTCACAGTGGTCAGTAATCCCACCCTTCATGATAAGAACCAACAATAATCACATGTGGCATCACCTGTGGACCACGTCCGAAGACACAGGACCAAGGCTAGCAAAGTGCTTGTTTCTTCTGAAAATCACTCTAGCACAGAACTAGATGGTCTTATACCTCCTCCCCCCAATACCTG